TTTCCCCTGATTGTATGCTACGCCATTACCGTGCACAAGTCGCAAAGAATCACTGAAGATGTGATCGTTACAGACCTCTCCTGCCGGGACTTTCAGACTGGTCTCAGCTACGTAGCTGTCTCTCGTGTGAAAACGCTCCAGGGCCCGATGCTGGATGCCCCATTTGATGGCAGTCACCTGTTTTATGAGTCTCCTCCAGAGGGTATGAAGATGAAGCTGAGGGATCAAGAGCTAAGGAAACGGCAGGTTCTTACACGGAATGCCTATAAGATGGACCATGGTTCTGCATAGTTCTACGTGATTCTGCTGGTGGCAGGAAGATATGCTCCAAAATGAGCTCCAGTGCTTAGATAATGTAGTTGCTCCCCTGATACTCAGCCTTCGGCTGATGCTACCCTTTGCACCACCTGTCTAAGTGCAAGGGGTGACGTAGTATTTTTAGCAACACTGCGGGCAAATACATCAAACGGGTGCAGGAGGAAGCCTCTGCGCGAGGCGACCTGATTGTCACAGGCAAGTAATATTGGAACACCTATTTTGGGATTATGACTAACAGACCAGGTTGCGGCATCCCCTGGCTTACGGAAAGATCTGCAAGCCATTGTGCAAGGGCACGTCGACGACAGAGTTGAGTTGGTAGAATTAGATTATCAGCCTGCGTAATCAATAACCACACAGAAATTTGGCTGAGTTTCGTAAAACATAAAAATAAACTGCGGCTCAACGTGACAATGTACGTGACTGCTGATCGTGGGCTTTTACTCTGCCAAGGGAAGAGAGATGCTGAGAGAAGAAATTATGGCAGGCCTCACACCCTCCATGGAGCTGCAGCATATGCTTACCAAAGCTGAAGGGAGTAGTAAGTGTCAACAGCACTAATCCAAAGCCAGGACGAGTTCGCCGTCGACCTTGGCTGAACGGTACACCGCTAAAGCCCGTCTTCGGTGGCTGTTTGGTTCTGCAGCGAAAAATGGCTGATGATGGATGGTGTTGAAAGGCGTTAGATACGACGGGGACCGAGCAAAAACTGGCACAGCCGTTAGACGTTTACGTGCTCCCACATGGGTCTCTTGCAAGCCTGCTGTGCTGCCAAAGTAAATCAAAGTATACACAGTAGGAGAAAGAGCCAAGAAGAAAAGTACTCTTTGGACGAACTCTTTAACGGGGATGCCAAGGCCAGGTTTGCATTGGCGGCAAGCCATAGCTTTTTGGCTCCCCCCTTGCAATTCTTCGAAATACCCTCGCCTCGGGACGCGGTACAGCCACGTGTCCCGTGGCTATAGTGCATTGGTGCCAGTCGATAGTCTGAATGCGCATGCTTTAGTGTTTCTGAAGTGTCCTTTTATTTCATTGAACGATCTTTGATACGTTTTATGGCAGTGGCTGATATATTACGAGGCGAATGAAAGAGCAACTGATGATTATGAGCTCCGAGCTGCAGGGCAGTGCCGTGGTTTATCGCAGGCGCGCTTAAAATACTGGTAGCGACCTGATCATATAGCTACTGCAGGTACCAGCAAAGGCGCCTACAGCTACCACCAACCGCTAATCGGGCATCCTAGCGGGGCAAGGTTACCACTAACCTGCAGACTTGCGCTATTTATTTATTTATTTATTTAT